TTTAGATATGAATGAAGTCTTAAAGAATTAAAGCTACCATCCATTAGCTTTGATTTTAATGTCCTGTATTAGTTTTAATTAGTGGACATCCTGTCTCTTTTAAGCTATATTTTCTCTCCAGCTCCTCCCCCACAATTTCCCACTTCTAAGGTCACTGCCAGAGTTCACGCTGGCTCTGGTTGAGTTTCTGCCTCTAAGCTAGGAAACTCTGAGTTTTGCTTTCAACAAGGAAAAAAAAATCATGCATGGATGAAAACTGGCATAAGTTAAATCACTTAATTCCCTTATTCCTTAATTAAGGGAATTGCAGAAGTGTTCATTTAATTACATTTAAACACCTAACTGAAAATCAGAAGTCCCTTAACTTCTAAGTTCACAAAGAGTCTGTGATAAAAGTTTCACAAAGCCCCATTTCAATTTTATGAACTGAATCCTTGCTTGATACTTTGGGGGTCTCGTATATTTCATAGAACCATTTTTTGTTTCGATGGTTAATATATGTTGTTATGGGATCCCTAGCCCAATTTTCATTCTTTCAGAAATTAATAGTATAACTTTGAAAGGTAAAGAAGAGACCACACAGGAACCAGGGAAAAAGCTACTTGAGAAACCAATTTGTAGTGTCATGGGCTTTGGAGGAGCTGGCCCAACCTGCCAACCAAATGATTGGGCCAATGCACTCAAACCCCATTAAGCTCCCCTGGCCTGGTGCTGGGTGGCCACGTCACAAGCTGGCGGTGGCAGGGCCCTGATTCTGCAGGTGCAGCACGTTAACCTTGATTCGTGCTGGGGCAGCAGCTGAGCCTGGCAGTCTTTGAAATGACATTTTGAGACAAAAGTGGGGGGCTTATTTTTTCTTTCCTACTTCCTGCTTCTAGTTTAATTGAGTCCTTGCCAGATGACACTTGGCAGGATGCCAAGCCAGCACCTGACTCTTACTGGGAGAAATAGTGTGTGTTTGATTAAAAGCTAAAAATTGATGATATTTGATCCCTAAGTCCAAATACTGCCCCATGGAGGCATGCCAAAACAGGTTTTCTATTCTGAGGAGCCTGGAAGACAGCGGAGTACACAGGACCATTTAGGAATCTTTTCAAAGTCACAGCCCTCATATGTTTGCCAGGTGCTGTTCTAAGATCCCCAAATGTATTAACTTCATAATCCTTACACTGACCCCATGAAGTAGGGACTACTGTGATCACTTCCCCCTTTCTACAAGTGAGACGTACATCTCACTTGTAGATGTAGATCTTCAACAGAGGTGTTGAAACACTTGCCCAAGATCACCAGTCAGGAGTAGGGCCAAATTGTCTGGCTCCTGGGCCCATGCTCCTACTCACTAACCACTGTGTTCCAATGTCCCACCGCACTTCCAGTGAGATGGGTTCATTTGTCTGCAGTTCACATGGGTGCTTTGAAATCAGGGAAGAAAAGCCATCATTCCTCATTGCTGTCAGGGCTACAAGGGCGCAATCTTTTTTACTTCTTTATTTTAAATGTGCTACTCTCTTTTCTAGAGATACTGGTGAGCTCTAGAAAAATGTTCCCTTCTCTTAAAAAAAAAAGTTTTTCTTAAAACAAAAATAGACAAAGAAAGAAGGAGGAAGGCAGAAAGAAGGGAAAGAAGGAAAGGAGGGAGTGGGGTTAATTCAGTCAATGGAAAGCATTGGTGGGAGGAAGAGAAAACTCAGGGTAGACCTCCTCCACCTCTCAGCCTCAGGTGGCGTCGTTGGCTGTGGCCACATTGCCTACCTGGCAAGCTCTGTATGGTTCCAGCTTCCTCCAGGTGCTCCCATCCCTCTAGTGCTGGGTAGGAGGGGTCAGGGCTAATCACTCTTGCCTCGCTGTCCCCCCAGTGCAATCAAATCCTTGTTTTAAATTCCCCTTCTGGAAATAATTAGGATGGTATCTCTCTACCTGACTGGATCTTGTCTGAGTGGCCCTGTAGTCTCTTAGAGTACAGCAGCATGGGGTGCATTTATTCCTTCCAAGAGCAGAAGATGGGCTTAGAAATAGCCTTTCAATTCCTTTTCCAGTCCAGAATTTCACAAAATGTTTAGTCAGCTCAGTGCTACCAGTCTGTGACCAAAACTATATTATGAACGCAGGGCGCCAAAGAGTAAAGAGGTCACACTAAGCGTAGCCCCTTCCTGCTGCCCCCGCTCCTCACACACCCCCCAACACTCCCCGTAATTACGTGGGTTGTGTTGCAACTGATTCATCTAGCTACTAAATCAGAGAGACCCAGGCACTCTTTTTTCCCAAGAGTTCTCCAGCAAAAAATGCAGAAAAGCTTTTGGAGTCTTGCAACCATCCAGTGGTGTCATTCAAATTGCAAGGATTCTCTGCAATGACAACCTTACCAGCTGATACCTACCATGGCCCCCAGCAGCCCCAGGACACAGAGTTGAGGTAGACTGGTCTCTGCTCTCTGAGAGCTGAGAGTCTAGCAGAAGGCTTGGCCCCAGAAGGAGGGTGGCCAGCGTCATAGGAAGGGAGCTCAGGATGCTCAGAGGAAAGAGATGAGCCCAGCCTTCCTCTTTCCCTACTGAAGTCTGATGGGAGAATCCTGCTTGGTCACTAAGAGAGTTTTGTGACCCTAGACAAGTCACAGCACTCCTCTCAGCCTGCATTTCTTCATCCATTCAACAAATATTCACATAGCAGCTACTGGCACCAGGAATAGAGAGGGGAGCATGATTGATAAGCTATCTTAGAATTTACGATTGCATTATGGAAGCTACTCAGTAAATGAGTTTTTAAAAATCACGGGGTGGGGGAAAACCTTTGAAGAACAATTTGACAAGCTCTAGAAAAGCTGAAATTTGATTGCTCTTTGACCCAGTAAGTCTACTCTTAGGTATATATCCTGGAGAAATTCTTAAACATTCCCACAGGACAAAGAATGAATGTAAAAGAATTTAAATGACAACTCATAAGAAAATGAAAAATGTGTGATATGTTCATTCAATGGTGTAGAGCAGTGAAAATGAATGACCTAGAGCTGCACATATCACCATGGACTATCTCACAAGTATAACTTCAGAATGTTGCAGAAAAATATGTAAAGTATAATGCCATCTATGCAGAGTTAAAATTGACAAATATTAGATACTATTTAGTAGCAAGAGTATTTTTTATATGCATGGGCATTAATAAGACCACATTAGATTAGCACTTTCTTCTGTGGAGGGAGGAAGGAGGATGGAATTGGGGAGTAATACATAGGGGATATCAACCGTATTGATAATATTTTGTATCTTAACCCAAGTTGTGGTTACAAAGTTTTTATTATAATATTCTTAGGATTTTGTCTATATATTTTAAATGTTGCCCTATAAAATTTTAAAATTTATTAAATAATGATAAGTGCTCTGAAGAAAATAAAAATCTGAAGTGATTGAGAGTGACTGGGATTTGGTTGGGGGTTCTGGAGATTGGGTGGTCAAGGAAAGCTTCTCAGCAGAGGTACTGGGATGAGCTGAATCATGACTGACATGAAGGGAGCAGCCATGACAGTATCTAGGGGAGGAGCATTGCAGGTGGAGAGAACATCTAATGCCAAGGGTCATGAATTGTAAAGGACCTAAGATTTTACCGTCCTTGCAAGATAGCAAGGTAGTCTGACTTAGTAGTGTGGATGCTGACAGAAGACACGAGACTACTGGGTCAGAGCAAGATATTTTATTATTCACAGCAGCAGGCAGCACGCTCTTCCTTTCACAGTGCTTCTCCTTGCTCCCCTCCCATGGTCAGTGTTCAGAGATAAAGTCAGTATAACTTGCTCATGGATTTGGATGTGCAGAATAAGGGAATCACAGAAATTTAAGATGATGATACAGTTTGGCTGTGTCCTCATGCAAATCTCATCTTGAATTGTAGTTCCCATAATCCCCACATGTCATGGAAGAGAACTGATGGGGGATAATTGAATCATGGGGGCAGTTTCCCCCATGTTATTCTCATGAGAGTGAGTGAGTTCTCATGTGATCTGATGGCTTTATAAGGGGTTTCCCCGTTCACTCAGCTGTCATTCTTCTGCTTCATGTTGCCATGTGAAGAAGGACATGTTTACTTTTCTTTCTGCCATGATTGTAAGTTTTCTGAGGCCTCCCCAGCCATGCTGAACTGTGGATCAATTAAACCTCTTTCCTTTATCAATTACCCAGTCTCAGGTATTCTTTATTAGCAGTATGAGAATGGACTAATACAGATGATTTCTAGATTTGAGGCTCTACCCCAAAAAGTATGAATTGAGGGGACAAGTAAGGGGTGGAAAGGACTCAAAAGTAGTACTCTGAGTATGAAAAGGTTGTGGTGCCTATTGACATCTAAGTGGAGGGACAGAGAAAGCAGCTGGGCCTAAGAGTTTGGAGCTTCAGGGCAAGGTCAAGGCTGGAGGTCTAGACCAGGGAGGCCCTGGCAGATGGAAGGTGCTAACAGCCCCGGGACTGATGAGCTCACTTGAGAACACTTGCCACGTTTACCATACTCGCCTGGTCAGCAGAATCACCTGGAACACACGTTAAAAACACAAGGTTTCCATGTCCTTTTCAGATCTTGCATTCTAAAATTTTATGACTAGATAGAGATATATTTCTGCACACATTCAATATGTACTGAGTGTTTATTGAGCACCTATTATGTTTCAAGCACTGTGCTTGTTGTGATTGGTGAAGCTTTAACAGCATCCTGTGGTTATGAAGAAAGGCCAAGAGAACTACTGAGACTTTGGCACTTACTTCATTGAACCAATAGACCAGCATCTAATATCTACCTCCAGACTTCTCACTAGGAAGGAAAAATAATCCCTTATTTGTTTAGGTTATAGTGAGGTTTTTTTGCTTGTATTAGTTTCTGTCAAAAGCATTCTGACCTGATATACACATTTTATTATTCTATGTATAAAACTAGTAAAACAAATCTCTTTGGGGAAGGGAGCCTTTAATTCATGTTTGATTAACTCAAGCTGAATAAGCCAAACTCCCTTAAACCATCAGTCTCAGTTACAGGCTCTGTTTATTAAAATCTCTTAAACATTCTAAACTTCTTGTATAATTTATCATATTTGATTTTCTATTTTAGCACTTCAAATCATTGATATGACAAGATTCTAGCCAATTAAGACAAAATATTCTCATATATTTAAGCATCTCTTGTAAATCTAATACATTACACCTATAAACATAGTAAATCTAGTCTAATACTGTAATGAGCTAAGTTAAATATTCTTATACCTTTCAACTTCAAATCACAAACTTAAAATCAATTTCATATTTCCAATTGGAATCATAAGCTTTTTAAATATTCAAATCACTTAAGGAGTATACACAAGATTGTTCCTGAACTTAACATGAAAGTATCAATATTATGGATTTGAATTATTGCATTATTTCCATAATGAGTTCCATACATTCTCAGGCTTGGAAAATCATTTATCCAACAAGGGAACAGATGTACTATTTACTGTTGTCAAGGACTCATGCCCGCAATATGGTGGACATCTCAGATGAGCAGAGGTTGCTTAGGATCTCAGGTCAGAAGACAGTACTCCAGTGCTGGAAGACAGTGCCCTGAGTGCTATGGTTACTATGGCAAGAGGAGGCTCCCAGTTTTCACCCTTCAGAGGTGTTTGATTTTTGAATCTCTATTCAAATTACCTCCTAAGTATTATTTTTATTTTTAATTATTAGAGTAGAAGGAAGTTGGCGACTCCACCTAGGTTAGCTAACAACTTCCTTTATGATCTCATTGGCTTTTGCGTTTACTTGGCACTCTGCAGGCATTGCTAACATATTTCCATCTCACTCTAATGAAATTTAAATGCTGTTGAATTTAATCCTGAACATTTGGCTCTGAGCCATGACTCTCAGGTCATGATAATAACATAAACCATTCCCCTGCCTCATGACTTTTTAGGAATTTCCCAAATGGGATTATAGCCTCTCACATTTCATTAGAACTACTGTATTTAGCTTGGCAGGTTTTTGGCTTCAGGGACTGTTCTCCCTCAAGCCTGCCCCTGGATGTCCTGGACGTCATTTGCTGAGGCCACCCAGGTAGGGAGCGGACCTGGCATCCGCTTTAGATGCGTCAGCCCATTCCCTGCAATCTCCTGCTGGAAGTTCCTTATCATTCCCACCTCCAGTTCTCTGCTATTCACCCTCTCTAAAAGGTAGATAAACGCAGCTTTTTTTGAGTGTCTAGCCTTTTTTGTGGGGTGAGTGGGGTAGGAGAAAGGAGGCACAGTGGCAGCAGAGCTGGAGCAACATTCCTTCTGGACCTCTCATTACTTGTATATATGTGTGAATTGAAAACATGATGTTACCGTTGTTTCCATTTCACACAAATTATAAGAGAGCACTCTGCTGATACCTAGCAAAACAACAATTATATTTCTCACGCCTCTCAGGCAAAATATCCACTGATAACTATGTGTTTTTCTTCCACTTACCGATATTCCTAAAAGATGCTTACAAAATGTCTTTTCAAATATCACATCAGTTTGAATACTCTTTGGGAACTCCAATATTTAGAAAAACTAGCCTGGGTGTGGTGGTGTGCACCTGTACTCCCAGCTACCTGGGAGGCTAAGGTGGGAGGATCACCTGAGTCCAGAAGTTGGAGGCTGCAGTGAGCTATAATCACATCACTGAATTCTAGCGTGGGTGACAGAGCAAGAATAAAGTAAATAGAAAAACCAATTGGTCGATCATCTTTGTAAGGTGAATCACCCCCAGTTTGTAAATTTGGCTTAAAACCCTACTTTGTTGGGGTTTGAACATGTGCAATAACTACCCCCAATTTCATGCATCAGAGAAGTCACTCTTCCTTTCATAGGGAGGAGAAAATAAAAAGAAATACTGAAGTGTCCTCCAGTATTTCTTGATGGAAGTTTCCATTTTGTGGGCAGAGGCAGGGATGTCTAGGAAGAAGTCAATCTTAGTTCCACTTTATGTATGTTTGTATCGATTTTCTTTGGCCCAAAGTGATACTCTATTTAAAGCTGTATTAGACAAATATCAACCGATCTTAGTGTTTCCAAAGAAAATCTTTATGCTTTTCACTGTCCTATTCTGATTTCACCAATTTCTTCAACTTTCCTTCTCCCCTCCTTTTTTTGTTTGTTATATCCAGTTTTATTTTCTAAATTCAGAGTTAGCTGTTTTGGGGAAGAGACATCCAGCACCTACACACTTCTGGGCCCCCTTCCTTGCAGGTGCAGGGGGATAACATTGATGACATTGCTCCACCTCCTGTGAGGTCACATGACTAATTCTAGCCAAAGGGTTATGAGAGTGAGGAGGTCACTCCTGGGCCAGCGTAGGAAGGAATTGTTGGGGTGAGCTCTTCCAGTGTTTCCTCCCCCTGCTGCCTCTAGGAAGGAGGCAGCCATGCCCTGGAAGGTGCATCCCACCGGATTATTGGGTTACCCCATGCAAGTAATTGTCTCGGAGGGTTTCCAGGCCCACAGGGGACTTTGCCTGCCCAACAAATGAATTTTTATCATGTCAAGTCACAAGCATTGCATTTGTTGATTGCCAATGCCCCATGGTTCTCAAAATGTGGTACCCAATCACCAGCATCAGCAACACCTGGGAATACATTAGAAACGGAACATTTTGGCACCACCCAGCCCTGCTGAATCACACACCCTGAGGGTGCAGCCCAGCAATCTGTGCTTTAACAGACCCCTACATGAGTGATGCCAGCAAGTATGAGGACCATGGCTCTACCCTGTGCTGGCTAACACAGCTTTCAGTTAAAAATTCCCTCTCGGCAAAGTGGAGTCTTCAGGTGAGTCCTATCAGTAAAACACAAACCATTTTCAAGTTTCTTAAGTAAATATACTTCCTCGCAGTGATGCAATCATTCCATTATTTTTTCTGTTTTAAGGCCTCAAAACAGGAAGAGGATCTATAAGCCTGCCAGACCACTATTTCTAACTTTGAGCACAGTTGTCACATGACAACATTTATGAACACATAAAAGAAGGTTAGTAAGAGCTTGAGGCTGCAGAGAGAAGGAAGAAAATTATCTTTACTTTTCTAGACACCACTGATGGCTGGGGGGCTGTACTGATTTGCCCTGATGGTGATGCTGCAGCAGAAATTAGTGTGGGGTGTGCTTGGGGCAGAAGAAGTGTCTGGTGTTTCCGGTCCCTAGAAGACCCTCCATTCCAAGGGGCAGGCTGAAATGGATTTTACGTTCCTTCCCAGGGCTGCCTTCCTCTTCTTGATTACTCAGTTGGTTCCCTGCAAGCAATGTGAGCTTCTGGCCTTATTTCTCCTCTGATTCTCATTTTCATGCCTCAAACTATCCAACTAGGGGACATTCCAAAACAACCCAATGAAATAAGCATAATATCTGCACCTTCAGTAAATTGTTTAACCTAATGATGGATTTAGAGGGCGTTTTTAGGCAAATTATTTATATGACTGAAAGAAATGCTTATTTACATGTATTTCCATTCAGATTTGACTGTGTTCAAACATAAATTTAAAATAAGAGTATAATGAGAACGCTATCTGCTCCATCTAACATTTTACCGTGTTAGTTCTCGCTCACACTCTCCGAACACACACATATACAGACACCTTCTTTTTTCCTGGGGTAAGTTGTCAATATTATGCTTCATCTCTCAGTACTTCAGCATGCATCACTCACATCACTAACAATATCACCTACCACTAGATCCACATTCAACATTCCCAGTTGTCTTTTATACCTATGAGATTTTTTCCTAAAACAAAATCCAATCAAGGCTTATGTTTTTGCCTTTGGTTGTTGGGTCTCTGGTTATCTGAAACAGAGCTCAGACATTAACAGACATGCAGATCACCTGGGGATCTTGTTAAAATGCAGATTTTAATTTTGGATGTCTAAGTGAGGCCTGAGAATCTTTGAGTCTAACAAGCGCCCAGGTGGTCCCAATGATGCTATGGGCCCAGGCCCACCCTTTGAGTAGCAAGGACAGGACAGTCCCCCTCTTATTCTTCCCACAGTGACACTCACTCCTTAAAGAGTCCAGGCCGATTTCTTGTAAAATGACGCACATTTTGGTTATTCCACCATGCCATTAACTTCTTTATCCTCTGTATTTACTGTAAACTGAAAGTTAGGTGTAAGACTTGATTAGTTTCCATTGACATCTTTGGAAGCAATGCTTCATAATGCATCCCAACAGGAACACCTAATGTCAGTTATCCTACCATTAATGGTGTGCTAGGACCTTGTCACTTGGTTAAGGTGATAACCAGACGTTTCCATTGTAATTTTTAAAATAAAAATTTAAAGAGTTCCTGCAAAGAGTGAGAACCACGGGGCAGTGGCAATCAACAACTCCGATGCTTCAGAAGTAAGTAACCTGGCTGCATATCAGATTGATAACTACACAGAGAAAAACATCCTTCAAGTTGGTCTCTGATGGGGTAAGGCTGAGTCCCTGCAGGCCAACTCCATCTGGCCTTGCGGCTGCCCCTGAGCCACAGGAGGGCTTCTCTGAAGAGGAGGGAGTCCCTCACTCACCCATGTTACCTTTGCTCACCTGAATCCCAAGCAGGGCTGCCTTGCAATGACAATAGTGTCTACCACAGTAAGGGCACCCACCATTTACAAATGTTAAGCATGTACCAAGCAGCATGCCAAACCCTATAAAGTAGGTGCCATGGACGGAATGTTTGTGTCCCCGCAATTCATATGTTGAAACCCTAACCCCCAATGTGACGGTATTAGGAGGGGGGCCTTTGGGAGGTGATGAGGGCATGAGGGTGGGGCCTCATGATGGGATTAGTGCCCTTATAAAAGGCATGCCAGAGGCTCCAACCCTCTTTCTACCACATGAGGACACAATGAGAAGTCAGCAGCCTACAACCCAGATCAGGGTCCTCACCAGCACCTGACCATGCAGGCACTCTGACCTTGGACTTCCAGCCTCCAGAACTGTGAGAAACGAATTTCTGTTGTTTATAATCCACATACTCTATGGAAATTTTTTATAGAGAGAGTTTTCTCAAGGCAAATGAGGACAACAAGAAGAAAAGCATAGTGGAAGGGGATGAAGAGGTGAGTAGAATTGCTTGATGAGAAATCATCCAAGCTGTAAGAGTTTGCCTCTGTATACAACAACCCTGGGAGGATGACAGAAGGTGATGGGTGAAGACTACATCTGGCATTCCCAACCTGGCACCTGTGACCCTATCAGGCCCAAACAGCTGTGCTATCGTCTGGAGAAAAGGGGTCAGTATGTTTCATGGGGTGGGGTAAAAGAGAAGGGAGACTGTGGGTGCTGTGTATGGTAAGCAGCTCTCTTGAAGTAAAAGAAAGCACGCCCTGATTTGTAGTGGTTGTGATGTAAATTCTCCCACCATGGGCAATTTCAAGCTATGAATGTTTAATAACTGTCTTGCAAGATTCTTGAGTAGTTAGCAGCTTCTATGAATGCTACAATCAGATCTACCACGCCACTAGGCAGTGCAACTGACCGTTTACATGCCAGCCAGGCCCGTGCGACCCAAGTGTACCCTGTCCTGTTCTGTGAAGGTGACATTTTAGTAACTTTGTTTTTGTTTTTTTTGAGACAGGGCCTCACTCTGTTGCCCAGGCTGGAGTGCAGTGATGGCATCTCAGCATCTTGGCTCACTGCAATTTCTGCCTCCTGGGTTCAAGCAATTCTCTTGCCTCAGCCTCCTGAGTAGCTGGGATTACAAGTGCATGCCCAGCTAATTTTTTTGTATTTTTGGTAGAGATGGAGATTCACCATGTTGGCCAGTCTGGTCTCGAACTCTTGAGCTCAGGCAATCTGCCCACCTCAGCCTCCCAAAGTGCTAAGATTACAGGCATGAGTCACTGCACTTGGCCATGTTTCAGTAACTTTGATGGTTACTTATTCAAAACTAGCAGAGTGTCCCTGAAGTTCAGTTTTGAAACTGAACTTTTGAAAAAGTAGTTCTCAAAAGCATATCCTTTGTCTAAAAGACACCAGAAGTCAGAGAGCAGGAGACCAGTTGATTAATCTAAATTTAAATTCGAGTCATCATGTAGCTAAATTATTTATGGTAAGTTTCTGATTGTCTCCTCTTGTGAGTTTTTTAAAAATACAAGAAAAAAGCCAACAGTGATTTTCTAGAGTAACTTTTAAAATGTAAAAACCAGGGCATGTTCTTTGTGAAGCGTTCATGCATTTCCAAAGTGGATAAGAAACGGGACTTATGCGACTGGAAGCCCACAGAGTGTGGAGAGGCTTCTTGACGCAGTGTGGCCACCCAAAAAGAGCAATGAGGGAACCTGACACCCGGAGAAAGAGCAGCCAAGAGACCTGAGAGGAGCAGGTGAGAGGCGCAGGGAGAAGCAGGGGCGCCGTCTCCCTGCCACTCCCTTGGGCGGCCCTGCCTACACCGTCACCATGATCTGGTCCAGAGGTTTGCGCTTGAGGTCAGGCACTGTGGCCTCCTTGCTGGGGTACCCCACGGGGAGCAACATCAGCAGCTTTTCATGTGCGGGGCGACCCAGGAGCACCCTCAGTCGAGGGCCGCAGTTGAGAGGAGTGGTAGTGACAGTCACCAGACCTGCATTCTAAAATAAGAGGACAAGAAAGCATTTTAAAGTCAGCAGACAGAATGACTGCTCTCCCTTCCAACCTGGGGACCTTCTTGTCCCGTTTTCACCTGCTCTTCCTATCATTTCCCTGAAGCTGGGCAGCAAAGAGGCTGCCAGCTCAGGTAATGGTATCGTGAACCTCCCTGCCCCCATCAATTTCCCCATCCCCTCCCTTCTTTTAACCAAGCAGTGGGAAGCTTCTGGAAGAAGAAAAATACTATTATTTTTCATTGATGCTTAAGAAATAGGAATGGTTATTTTACAGAAAAATACTGTAGGAATACAACTATAGTAAAGGAAAGGCAAAAACCACAGGGAGTTCCTTTTAGCTAAGTGATTGGTCTGTGTCCTGGTACAAGAACCAAATGATAAGAGCAGTCCACCAAAGCAGTGTACTAGCCCAAATGCGACATAATTTTCTGACTAAATATTCCTTTTTTTTTTTTTTTTTTGAGACAAGGTGTGGCTCTATCGCTCAGGCTGGAGTGCAGTGGCATGATCTCAGCTCACTGTAACTTCTGCCTCCCAGGCTCAAGCTATTCTCCCACCTCAGCCTCCTGAGTAGCTGGGACTACAGGCATGCACCACCATGCCCTGCTATATTTTGTATTTATTTGTAGAGATGGGGTTTTGCCATATTGCCCAGGTTTGTCTGAAACACCTGAGTTTAAGTGATCTGCCTGTCTCGGCCTCCCAAAGTGCTGGGATTACAAGTGTGAACCACCATACCTGGCCAATTTTCCTGCTAAATATACTTTCCTGAACTCCAGTGATATGCCTGGAATCTATGATTTATTATCAATAACTCTAATATTGGCATTTGAACCATATATATATATGAATCCATATATACATGAACCCATGTGTGTGTGTGTGTATATATATATCTACACATGCACATATGCACATATATGAATCTAGAGTGACTTGATATAGTTTCTTGCTGAAGGTCTTTTATATAACATCATTATATACCTTGATTAACAAAGATTTCACAATACCTGAGAGACTGTTCTCAAGAATACATGCATCAGAAAACCTAACTGATTTCTTCTTTCTGTCATTAGCTTTATTAGCTTTCTGTCTTTATTAGATAAAGCTTTCTGTCTTTATTAGATAAAGAAACACTTTATCATGGTGTTTCTTCTCCTTGATCATATCTTCACATAGTATTTGAACTTGGAATGGATAAATCTTAAACTTTTTTGAGAAAATAATTACACCTTAATTTGGTGTCATTTTATATTTTGGTCCTTTTCAAGACATAGCTTTTACTCCATACTTAATTTTGTATGTCTCTAGCAGTAGAAACCTGCAGATACACAGACCATATTAAACAATTCCTCTTACTAATATTATTAATGTTAAGTTGACTTCTATTATTATTTTATCTTTCACTCTCTCGATGTGAGTACTTTGGTCTTATTATAGGTCAGGATTTTTTTAACTGGAATCCTCAGACCCCCAAAGGGCCAAAGATTGAATTTGGCAGGTCCATGAACTTGAATTTGAAAAGCAAAGTCTTTATATTCACTAACATCTAACTGAAATTTAGCAGTTTCTTCCTTTGTAAATGTAGGCAGCAAACCACAGTAGTGTTAGCAATATCTATGACTTTATCACCAGTGAAATCCAGTTATTTTCATGTCATTTTACAGTTGTTATAGATATTTTAAAATATCATTACATTCATCACTACTTTAAAATTATAGAGCTACTACTAGCTCTTGGTATTTAATATATTAATAAAGGCTTGTATATTTTATTCTAAACGACAACCACCACGGCAAGTTCCTATAACTACAGAGCCAACCATGGAAGCAGAGCTTCCCCACCCAGTGAAATGCTGATGCCTGTTGATGGGGGACTCAGTGGCCAAGGGGTACCCCATCGACCTCTTTCCAAGCCTCCAAATAACAAACATCTAAGTAAAAGCAATGAGGAGCTTCCAGACACTTCCCCTCACTGCCCCTTTCCAGCTTTTCCAATCAGATCACCACCTCTAAACCTGACCAGGAAGTTCTGGAAGCTGCCTCTATAAGACGTGCATGGCGCGCTTATAGGACCCAGTCACCACCGTACTGGAGACGGGGGCTTCATGGAGACTTTTTTCCTCCATCACTAATCTTAACCTACTCTCGGGATTATGCCTTATGAAAGCTAGGGGGCAGCAAACTCAATGGCAAAGTGAAAAAGACTGCCCACTGCAGAGGCACCCGGGCAGCCTTGTGAGCTGAGCTTACTGCAGGCTTCGCTGCTTCTTCCAGGACCCTCGATCAGGTAGCGGTGCCCTGCAGTCTGACGCCGCGTGGTGATTCCATTATTTACCTGCTTACAGATTCAGGAAGGAAATCAATGCCAGCTCCTTCAGGATAATTTTTCCAATAACCTAAAACACATTTCAATGACTACATTTTGGGAGGTGCTATTCAACATACATACTTTTCTTTGAGATAGTGAAGAAGCTCTTTTTTTTTTTTTTTTTGAATCCGTTGTCTCTTAAAAGTATGATTACTTGCTCTTGCTCTTATAATCTCGTTTTCTACGTTTATTTTATGGGTTTACCATCTCTCTCTATCCCCTACCCAGCCCCCAGTGTCTGCTAGAATATACAGTTCATCAGACAAACTATCCCCGGTGGCTCCCAGGAACTGCCACACAGAAGGAGCTCAGCGGCCGGCATGGTGGCTCATGCCTGTAATCCTAGTACTTCGGGAGCCTGAGAAGAGTGAATCACTGGAGCTCGAGAAGAGTGAATCACTGGAGCTCAGGAGTAGAGACTAGCCTAGGCAATATGGCAAAACCCCATCTATACAAAAAAATGTAAAAATCAGCCGGGCATGGTGCTGAATGCCTGTAGTCCCAACTATTCAGGAGACTGAGGTGGGAGGATCACTTGAGCCCAGGAGGTCAAGGCTGCAGTGAGCTGTGATGGCGCCACTGCACTCCAGCCTGAGTGACAGAATGAGACCCTGTCTCAGAACAAAAGAAAAAGGAGCTCAGAAAATATTTGTGAGTGAATGCATTGCTGAGTGAGGGCATGAATAGTTTGAAAACTGTACAGCAATCCTGTTCCATTTCGTGTTAGCACTGCTCTCGTTCCTATGCAGATGGAATTTTTGAAAAGCACGTGACCATCTTCCTAATGCCCTGCAATGCAAACTTCTTAGAAAGGGGTCTCTATGAAGAGCCCTTCTCATGGCTTTTTAGTCATTCCATCTTCTCTAAGAGCAACAGTAAACGTATCCAGGGAGTTAGCCTCTGTGACTTTTAGGCTCCAAAGTTCTTCATGTGTGTCTGCCAAAACCCTTGAAACTTCATGTTGTTACAGATGACGGCAAACACACCACCAATTTTTCTAACCTTGAAATGATGTGATAAGTGAATTCCCAACTTGTTGAACCATCGTACTCACCAATCCAGGTTTCCAGAGTCAGTTTTCACATCAGAGTTACCTCACTTAGGAATTCTACTTTAGATTAAAAAACAATTTCCAAATGTCCCTGAATTGAAAACTCAGCTGAAATGTTCTAATAAGGCCACCCTTTAACCTTTGATGTCTCAACATACCTGCAGGGCAGCTAGCAGGATGCCACAAGCAATGGAAACGCTGATCTCATTGTAGTAGTGGACTTTTTTCTTGCCATTTGCAGCAAAACCATGTACTTGTTTGAAAATGAGAATCAAAATAGGGGCAGTATCCAAGTACTCTTTAATCCAGTTGGTTCTGTGAAGAGAAAAGAGATTCAGGAGAATATTTGCCTGTTCTCTGGATATTTGTCTGAATATTTTTTGTTCTCTTTTACTACCTTAGCTTCTTTATGATAAAAATAAAAACCTATTTACTCATCTTTTATATTTAAATTGAACAGCTGCAGAATTTTTGTTTTTGTCTCATTCCTCTTTTTCTGACCAGGATCATTCAATTTCATAAACATGTCTTAGTAAGTGCCTAGTATGGCAAGACATATGAAATGCTGAAAGATACAAGGGCAGGTCCTATTACCCAGCATGCACTGGGTCAAAATTCAGCCAGGGAGAAGGCAAGGATGGCAGTGAGGTTTAGCCAAAATCACAAAATCACAGGTGGGCAGATGGCAATGCTGTTCACCCAGTTATAGAAAAAAGGAAGGGAACTTCTGCGGGAGAGGGAGATCATTCATGTGAGGTATAAATGCAGAGCTAAATTTTTGTTTTCCAGCTCAGAATATCTCTTTCTTGATTTCATTACCCTGGCCCACACATTTTGGCAGAAGTTTTATTCTAGCACAGATAGTCAAAAAGGACAGAGAGTCATATAATCCCATATATTGGGATTTTACCTTAGGATATCTTGTGTCATTCATTAGTAAGAGACAATCACCATTCATTTCATTTCTAGCCTGGTTATGCCTCCTTGTTCCGAAGCACACTGAAACTCACTTGTGTATTTCTCCATGGTTCCTCTTATACTATGAACATCTGTATGTTACACTTGCAAAGCTACTTAACTGTACTTCAACCAGCTTAGTTACATTTGACTATTGCCATTTCTTTTCTCCCTACAAAGAGGGAAAATGGTAATGCTTTAGAAGATCTGCACTGGAGCTGGACTGTTTTGGCCACTGGGCAAGCTACTTGGCCTCCCATGGAACTGTTACCTCCTCTGTAATATGTACTCTTGTGTACCCAATCCATATGGTTATTGCAAGGGTGAAAATAGTTAAAATACATAAAGTGGTTTTTAATAAAGCCAAGCATCAGAATTTTAAATCATGGAAATATCAACACAGAGGAGCCACTTGTAATCCACTTTCCTGACTCACTCGATGAACCAACACTCTCCATTCCCTCCATAGAGCACGTGGACTGTGACTTCAATGCCCAGAGCAGACCCCGGGGGCTGCATTTGTTGAGGGACCACAGTGAAACTACTTACACTGAATTCCCCTCCACTTTTTTCCTGGAGTTGAGGAAGCCAAAAAGTTACTAAGGCCTCACAGATAACTACACTTGTGCTAAACTTGTCCTAAAACTAAAACCTGCTTAGTAAAATGATTGAGAAAACCTGATCACTTTAGCAAAATGTAATTTGCTTCATGCAAGATCTTGAGAAGAATTTCGCCATTTTATGTTCCAGATGGGTGAAAAGTGAAGTAATTCCTCAATTATTTACTAAGCAAATAATTGAGTCAGAGCCTATTTACCAAACGCTCACATGGCGATACGGGAGTGAGCTCTCTCTTAACTTCCATAATTCCTCCCAGAGGCAGAATCAAGCTTGTCCACACTTACAACAAAGCCAGGACATGGTGGTGGTGGTGATTTTATTTTAAGAAGCCAAGGCAAACATCCCCAATTCCACCACTGTTTTTACCTCAGTTTCTTGAGATCTGTGACCCAGTGATGTCCCATCCTTTTCATATAGTTGATCTCCTCTTCCTCCTCAATGATCTTTCGAATCTTGTGCTTCACATCTGGGTCCTTCACAACCACGAAGGTCCAGGGCTCTGTATGGGCCCCACTCGGGGCTGTTCCTGTCACCCATTCCATTAAAATCAGAAATTAAAACTGCAGGAAAGTGTGAGGCTGCTAATTAAGGAGAGGCTCATCCCTGTAGTCCAAGCACTTTGGGAGGCTGGAGCTGGAGAATTAAAACATTTTTGCAGTTTTTTTTTTTTTTTTTTTTAAACTAGCAGGGTGTGCTGGTGTGTGCCTGTAGTCCCAACTGCTTGGGAGGCAGAGGTGGGAGGATTGCTTGAGTTCAGGAGGCAGTTGAGTCATGATTGCACCACTGCACCCTAGCCTGGCAACAGGCTAAAAAATTAAAAATTTTTTTTCTAAGGATAAGCATAATAATTCATACTTGGCCGGGCGCAGTGGCTCATGCCTGTAATCCCAGCACTTTGGGAGGCCGAGGTGGGTGGATCACCTGAGGTCAGGAGTTCAAAACCAGCCTGGCCAACATGGTGAAACCCCGTCTCTAGTAAAAATAGAAAAATTAGCCGGGTGTGGTGGTGGGCACCTGTAATCCCATCTACTTGGGAGGCTGAGACAGGAGAATTGTTTGAACCTGGGAGGCAGAGGTTGCCGTAAGCTAAGATCATCCCATTGTACTCCAGCCTGGGCAACAAGAGTGAAACTCTGTCTCAAAAAAAAATAAAAATAAAAATAATTCATATTTGCTCAAAATGAAGTTAGATAATCTGGAAAACAAATGCCTGGCAGGGAACCCTGTCATGCTGCTGCCAAGTTCGTTTTGTTCAGCATCAGGCCAGCTGATCAATGATCAAGCTCTGCAGTTCCAGGGTTGTGGGAACTCCACCTCTGCTTCTCTAATTATGTGGGAGAAAATGTCCCCAAGAAACTGCACCATGACCACTAAGGAAAGAAACTCAGAGGGGAAATTTGACAGCCAGAGTTCTCCAGACTGTTGTTTCTTTTGGTATTCTTGAAAAAAAAAAAAAAAAAAGTTGTGAAGGTTATTGAAGAAGGCAAAATGTATACGGTAAGATGGTTTTTAAAACACTCCTCAAAAGGCAACTTAGTTATACAGTGTTTGGTCCCTATATCAAAGCTATTAGTGTGGCACTGTGAGATTTATCCTTGGGGACACACGACAGTTGGGGAAATTCTTTTTTTTTTTTTTTTTTTTTGATGGAGTCTCAGTCTATCACCAGTCTGGAGTGCAGTGTCACTTATCTCGGCTCAGTGCAGCTTCTGCCTCCCAGGTTCAAGCGATTCTCCTCCCTCAGCCTCCCGAGTAGCTGGGACTACAGGTGCCCGCCACCACATGCAGCTAATTTTTGTATTTTTAGTAGAGATGGGGTTTCACCATTTTGGCCAGGATGGTTTTGATCTCTTGACCTCGTGATCCACCTGCCTCAGCCTCCCAAAGTGCTGGGATTACAGGCGTGAGCCACCAGGCCCGGCCCAGTTGGAGAACTCTTAGACATGGGTACTCAATATGCACAGCCATGTGTCATTCTACTCCCAGGGAGACTTCAGGAACTCTCAGCCCACACCTTGATCAGTTCCAGTGTCCCAGGGCAAAGCTTCACAGTGCATCACCTTTGTCCAAGGAGCCTCAGTTCCCTGTGGGATTCTGGTGAGAGTAGGGGCCAGCTTCTGATCTGGGTGTCGTCCCTCGGCCCTAGAGATGGCCCACTGTTCCCAGGGGGAGACCACAGTGACTCACAGGTGAGATATTTCAGAAGCAACTCTTCCTTCCTTCCCAATGGATAGTTTAATCCACCGATGGAGGGAGGAAGGGCTGCAGGCTCTTGGTGGGGTTCTTGCTTGCCACACACGACTCCCAACACTAGAAGTCTCAACTGGCTTGGGAAATGCAAGTCAAAAGCTAAACATGAGGCCCCAATTTCTGCACAGAGTGATTCCAGTTAACTTTGTACCCATTTTATTTGTTTACTAAATATTTGTATCTCTAAACATAAGAAATAAAGTTTTCCCTAATGTTTTTAGTTGTGTCAAATTCACCTTCGCAGCATATGTGTACATACACATATACAAATACAGATACAGGTAAAGGTGAAATTTAGTAACTGCTGTTAGTTAGACTAAGGACTCAACAATCTAATGTATTTGTATTCCTAACTGAAGTAAAGTATTTTATTCTTGCTTCCTTTCACGTTGGACAATAGATTAACAATGAGCACGTGAAAATTTTTGCAAATAACTTAAATGTGGTTTATGTAAGAATAAGACTCCAATCACAGGAGATTCTCAAGTAGTGAGATTTCTCTTATTTCTCCTCCCCATTTTCTGTAGCTCTTATTTTTTTTTTCCTCAGTGGAAATATTAATTTACATTAAAATGGGTCTTTTCCTTCTTTGACTTACTTTGCAAATTTACATAAGTAAATTTTGCTAGTTAATGAGAATACTGGACTATAGCATCACAGTGTATAATATTAGAAATTTGCTTCCAAAGAAAACAAATATAACTGAGTATGCGAGTGTGTGTGTGTCTGGTGTGTTTTAAGGGGAGGGAAAGAAAGAAGCTGTATCTCCTCCAATATATTAATCTAATGATGTGATCAGAAATCTTGGTTTTTAATTAAAAGATCATGAACTGAATAATTGCAGAAGTTTTGAATTATTGTCACATCTGCTTCCAAGAAGCTTGTAATAGTCAAAATGTGGAAAGTAGAAGTCATTGTGTTTCTGGCAGTCACTCAGCACTTGGGTAAGACTTTATAGATAAACATATCACTCTAGGCTTTATTCACTGTGTTTAAACTTTGACATTTTTCCATTGTTGGAGTCACACCAGTAAAGTGGCTAACATTTCCAAAGACCCCATCTGCAAGTACAGACCTGCCGTTCTGATGACATTATCAATGACTTCCATCGGAACTTGCTCATTACTTATGAACCTGACTGACCGTCTCTTGTTGAGAAGTTCATAAAATTCCTGAGACCTCTTAACCATTTCCTTCTCAGGATAGTGGGTATGAGAGAAGGGGATGTGTTCAACACTTTCTTCTGATTCTTGCCATTCATCAGCATCTGCAAATAAGAACAAGAAAGGTAACAAACTAAATGATCTCTTGGTCATAAGGTGACCACTGGGGAGAAGAAGATAAAGTTCTCAAATGTGTAAGATTATGAACTAAAAAAAATACAATAAAATAAAAAAGAATAGATTTACAGAATCCTTACCACTGATCTTGGCTATCCTTAAAACTCCAGCTGGGTGCAATGGCTCACACGTGTATTCCCAGCTGCTCTGGAGACTGAAGTGAGAGGGTCGCTTGAGCCCAGGAGTTCAAGGCTGCAGTGAGCTATCATCACACCACTGCACTCTAACCTGGGCAATGGAAAGACACCCAGTCTCTTTAAAAAAAAAAAGAAAAGAAAAGAAAAGAAAGAAAGAAAAAGAAAAGTCCGGGCGTGGTGGCTTATGCCTGTAATCCCAGCATTTTGGGACGCCAAGGTGGGCGGGTCACTTGAGGTTGGGCGTTCGAGGCCAACCTGGTCAACATGGTGAAACCCCGTCTCTACTAAAAATACAAAACTTAGCCAGGTGTTGTGGTGCACACCTGTAATCCCAGCTACTTGGGAGGCTGAGGCACGAGAATTGCTTGGACCCGGGAGGTGGAGGTTGCAGTGAGCCGAGATTGCGCCACTGCACTCCAGCCTGGGTGACAGAGTGAGACTCCATCTCAAAAAAAATAAATAAATAAATAAATAAGAAAAAGAAAAAGAAAAAAAAAAAGAAAAAAGAAGCAAAAACTCCAGACTAATTGTAAATCAAGAAAAGAAAAATTTTACCTACAAAAAGATGAGGAATTCAAATTTCTGTTAATGATGGACTAGATTATTTGAAACAATCTCCCATCAGCTGAAAACCACTCAGATCTCTAAATAAAGTATTTTTCTTTATTCAGAAAAATAAGTCTTTTTTGAAATAATTGAGCCTACAACATAGCAAGAAATTTGCAGGCCAAAGTGAAGAGAAAATTTGAACTCATACAGGTAAATAAGCGCAGAAGGTACATTTTTTTCCCCTACTGTATTTGCCAATCCCCACACATTTGAATTCCATTTTTATATCTGCAGGGATCAAGGGTGACAGATATCAAAGCCCAGGCCCGCACAGAATGTGAAGTCTAATAAGCTAGGACCCCAAAACTACATCCATAGGGGAAGTATGAATCATAAATAAATTATTCCTCAAGGGTTTGTATCAGTTTGATGAGTCTTGCTTCAAACTTGAACTTGGAATAAACTTGTCCTGTCTGCAAGTACCCCGGTTGTCTAGCAGAAGCAAATGCCAATATACAAATAATTTTAAGTATAATCATCAGCAACCCACCAAATGCAGTCAAGCACATAAAGAAGAAAACATCTTAGACAAGAAACAGCAGAATCCATTTTTTAAAAAAATAAAGTCAGATGCCCAAAAACTCCAAATACTGGAATTATGAGACCCAGAAGATAAAACAACTATGATTACTATATTTAGAGAAAAAAGACAAACTTATATAAATCTGTATGTACGGTACACGAAAGAATAAAAGAAAAAAAAGAAAAAGAAAAAACAAAAACAATAGCAAAAATAAAGAATAAAAGTTAATATAAACAATCTGAAAAAATAGAGAACTTCTGGAATTGGAAAATAATAGAATTAAGAACTTAAATGGATGGTTAACTAGCAGGTTAGACTAACTACAGAAAAATTAATGAACTGAGAGATATGTCAGAAGAAAACACTTAGAATGGGGCAGGGAGAGGCAAAAAGATAGAAAATATAGAAGAAAGGGCAAGAAAAAATAGAGCAGAGTGAAGAGTGAGAATGTCTAATATATATATGATCATTTTATTCAAACAGAATGTGGTGGAGGCAATATTTGAAAAGATAGCATCTGAGATTTTCACAGAACTCATGAAAAATAGCAGATCTACAGATTCAAGAGGGCTGGGGCTGGTAAGTTTTTTTTGGGGGGTTTTTTTTTGTTTTTTTTTTTTACAAGAACATTTTTCTTTCTCTTCTTTTAAAATTAGAAATGGGGTTTTGCTATGTTGCCAGGCTGGACTCAAACTCCTGGCCTCAAGGGATCCTCCAGCCTCAGCCTCCTGAGTAGCTGGGAGTACAGGTGTGCACTATTGCACTTGACTATTTTTAATGACATTAAACACAGCTGCTACAAGGGGGAAAATGTGATTAAAAAGAAGGCACCAAACTTCAGTTTCATAATTGATCCTGACAACAATGAAAGTAAATCAGGGGCTACATTAGATGCAAAACTACAAGTTATTTCAGGCTTCTCGCCTACAGGTAAGCTATGTAAATGGCATACTTTTACTCTGAGGCCTAGTAAATTCAAAGAGTTATTTTTAAAAAACTATATATTTTACAATAAAATATAAAGATATTGAAAGCAATCAGAGGAAAAAAAAAGTTACCTCGGGAAGAACACAGAAATAACTGAATTTTTAACGAAGGCAAGAATAACTACATTGAATAGAAATGAACTAAATGTTCCTGATAAAGGCCAATGATTATTTTAAGTCCAAGTATGTTGTTTATAAGTGACACACCTAAAACATAAGCATATAGAAAGGTTGAAAGTCGTACCATGCATCACATAACTATATTAGTTGAAAAAAATTAAGGCAAAAAGCATTGTTGATAATAAAAAGGGTCAGTTTATAATAACACAGTTTTATTTGCTGGGAAAACATAATTTTAAATATGTATGCAATTACATTACACGACCTCAAGACAGACTTTTAAGAAGAAATGTAAAAATCCACAACACAGTGAAAGATCTTAACACATCTCTCTCAGTAATGATAGAATAAGCAGAAGAAAAAATCAGTAAGGATACAGAAAATTTTAACAAGGTAATTGACAAAGATGACCAAATAGACTTATATAGGACACTGCACCAAACAACTACAGAACACACATTCTTTTTAAGCAGACTTATTGGACCAGAAAATAACTCTCAACATATTTTAATGGCCCAATAGATAATGATCTCTAACTGTAATGCAACTAAACTAGTAACAAAAAGATAAGTTAAAAAAACAAACAAAATACCTTAATGAAAATTAGAAAATATTTCAAAATTAAAATATGACATTATTACGTATTGAAAAATCTATGCAATAACATTAAAATATTATATTTAGAGGGAGATTCCAAGCCTCACATACATACATTAGCTAGGAACAAACCCTAAAAATTAATGAATTGAAGATCAATTTCAAGAAGTTAGAAAAAATATCCAAATAAAACCAACGATGTAGAAAGAAGCAAATATTAAATATGACATATTAAGGAAAACAACAACAAACATCCAATAGGGAGAAACATCAAAACCAAAGCTGGTTCTCTGTAGAAACTGATTAAATTGGCAATCTTCTGGCAAGATTGATCAAGAAAAAGAGAAAGCACAAATAACAAATTTCAGGAATGAAAAAGGAGGCATGACCATAGATGTTACTGTCATTTAACAAACAGTATGAGAATATTTATTATACCAATATATGTTAGAAAATTTATATAAAATAGACCAATTTCTTCAAAATATAACCTGCCAAAACTAACCTCAAAATAGAAAAACTGAAAAGTCTGCTGACTATTAAATAAGCTGAATTAGTAAGCAAAGATTTCCCTAAAAAAGAAAGCAACTTTACATTCAGATAGCTTCATGAAGGAGTCCTACCAAACTTTCACAGAGATAATACTGCTAAATTCTCAAACTCTTCCCAACATTAGAAAAAGAGTAAACACCCTCCAACTCATTTTATGGAATGACCACAACCTTGATACCAAACGTAAGTAGGGCATTAAGAGAACAAAAAACTACAGGCTCAGTTTTCTCACAAACACGGTACAAAAATCCTAAACAAAATATGAATAACAGAATTCAACAATTTATTGAAAAAATACATCTTGAGCAAGTTGGAGTTATCCCAGGAATAAGAGGTTAATTTAACATTAGAAAAACAATCTTTTTTTTTTTTTTTTTTTGGTCACATTAAAAAGCTGAAGAACATAAACCACAAAAATCATTACAATGCAGAAAAGATGTTTGATAAAACTTGACATTTATCTCTTAGTAAATTTGGAGAAAGGAACTTTCATAATCTCATAGTCTAATTATGGGGGGAAAATCCCCACCACATCCAACTATGGTAATAATGAATTGTCTGACTACGAGGGGAAAATCCCCACCACATCCAGCTATGGTAATGATGAATCTTTGAAACCCTTCCATCAGAGATTGAGAACAATAGGATGTTGAATATTCTCACCACAATTCTAAATATGAAAGATTAATTTTTAAAGCTTTTAGAAGAGAATGTAAGAGAAGGTCTTCACGACCTTGGAGTGGAGAAAGATTTCTTAAACAAGACACAAAAAGATTAAATGTAAGAAAAGAACTGTTACATTTAACTACATAAAATTTCTCGTTTCATCTGCCTGCTTCTGCCACTTCTTCTGTTTTCCCCATTACCCTCCTGTTCAGAGAGTTCTGCAAGCTCATTATCAATAGTTCAAGATCTTAGAGAAGATAAAGGTGCAACAGAAGGGTCAATCACTGAAGCTAAAAATAATAAAACTTGGGAGAAACAAAATGAGCCCACAGATACGGCAGAAGGTAAGAAGGATGATATGTCTAGTGCACTAAAAGCTTCACCAAGGGCAGATCCAGTTATCTTATTTTAGAAGAAGATTTTCCAATAAATAATATTGTGAAATTCAAGATAGTTTCTACAAACAAGGGTTCTGAAGACTGTATTGTCAAATTCCCAGATACTACATTTCAATATTCCCAAAATTGTTTGTTATATATCCAAAATTTCACAGCTCTTCTAAATATTGTTTCTTCATTTCACTTAAGCTCATGAAAAGACACACTTCTGAACTACAAAGATTTCAACAGAAAAAAAATTCTAAGATGCTGTCTTCAAACACTTAAAATTATTGAGGGGAAAATGTTTGGATGGCAAAAAAAAAAAAAAAAATAGATATTCCTTGCTTGTCTTAGGCT